CCCGCCCCCCGCCGGGCGCTGCGCCCCTCGCCGGCCCGGCCCGAGCCGCTCGGGAGGCTCCCCGCTACCTCCCGGCAATAAACCAGGGCGAACTCTCTCCCCGCTGCATGTCTCTGTTGTCTCTTGTCCCTCCTCCGGCAGCGTTTTGCCTCTGAGCTTCGCAAATCGGTAGCAAAACGGTTGCTGTCGGGCGCTGGCTCTGTGGTGATCAGGTCCCAGTACGTCCCCTTCGACCAGCACGTGTCTTTCCTGCTCCTGTAACAGCTACCGCACGGCGCTAGGTTGCCCCGGGGAGCTCATGCTGCCACGGTGCTCAGCGTTCGAGCTCTCCGTTGGCGGCATCATCGGTAGCTCATCTGCCTCTGATGAGGAAGGGCGATGTGCGTCCTCGGGGCTTGCCAGGTTCCTCCTCAGGTGGCCGCACAGGGCGCTGTATCAGGTAACGCCAAAACGTCTCAGTGGACCTCGGCCAAGGAGAAGCTTGCTTGGCCTCGTACACGCGTACTTGGGCTGTTGTCATTTCACGGGCTGTGCATGCCACGGTTGGAGGTCAGGAGTGACTTTGCGGTGTTGTAATGCTGACCTAGCCCTTGTCTTGGTCTTCTCCATAATGGTAGCGTGAATGCACAGACCGGCCTGCGCAGAGATGCCGATGATGGGTGAAGAGAGCCAAGAGCAGTCGCATCTGTACCAGCCCCAGCCTCGATTCCTCCCTCGGCTCTTATGACTGTTAATTTTTCTACTTTACCGTGCAAGATATGCTCAGGAAGAAACATTTAATGGTAAAACCACAACAATGACTCCATTAAATACTTTAAGTCCCCGTATTGAACCTGAAAGGAGAGCAGGGAGGAAATGCATTCACTTTTAGTAAAGGGAGGTATTTCTGTGCTCCTACTTTTAAAGATCGGCCACCTTCTCGTATTGGAAGGGATTGCTAAGAGTTGGGAAACGTTCGTCTGCAGGCATAAAACTACATTTTATGCAAACTACAATGATCGCTTTGAGATACCTGGTTTTATAATGCTTAAATCCCACAAATAAAGTGAACGTGCTCTGATGGCGTGAAAGGGCCAAGCTGGATGCTGTCATTTTAAGTGGTTGGCTGCTAATAATAGATGCTAAAAGGAGTTGTAAACTTGGACAGCCGCTTGGAGTAGCTGTTTCAGGACCAAATGCTATTGCTGTGGTGTTTGGCAACTTCGCCGTTTCTTTTCTAAGAACTCCCTTTCCTGACACTGCTTTACCCCATCTTTAGCTACCAGTTCCTCATTTAGCTGGTGTGCAGAAAGTAACCGGAGTATCTCCTTTTAGCATGACTTTCTTCTGGTTTAGAGGAAAGTGTAAATAGCAAAATGTGGGGGTTGTTTGGGCTCTTAGCGATGAACACGGAGGCAAAGTACAGAGTTGGAACAGTGCTCAGATATCTGCACGCTTCTCTGGCTTTCACAAATGCGCTAGAACGTGGTGTAATATCTGTGGGCTTCCTATGTGCACCAGGGAAGAGTATTATCTGTTGACTGGTGGGGTGTGTTTTTCTTTTCTTTAGGACTTTAATATAGAAAGCAGCGCTTTTTTTAAAAATAAAGAAAAAAGGGGGGTGGGGGGAGGCTGCTTAGCTGTGTGGCAGTTGTTGTGTATCCCCAAAGGCCTGGCTGACCTCCAAGCTTGTCCTGGAGGTATTTTGATAGGGAGGAACTGGAACTGTAAAAAGTCTTAGCCAGAAACAGAATTGAAAGAAAATACAAACGTAATTTGCATAAGACCTTGCAAGCTGGAAGTGTGACTTTCAGCATTCACTATCTTTGGTGTTCTGGTGCTCCAGCAGACAATTAGGCACTCATTTACGTAGCAGATCCTTAATGAAGTTGCCAGATACTGTAAAGACTAGGAGTGAAAGCTGTCCTAATCGTAACTACATGTCTATTATTAACTTCTGCATTTAGCTCACAAGCTGAATAAAAATCAGTACTTGAGTGGAGCGTAAGGCCCTCTAGGACCACTGGGAACTTTATTCCCCTTTGGAAAAAGAGCAGAAAAGCAAAAGTAAACATGCTTTTACCTTGTTAAAGAAATATTTATGTATCTTATGATGCAGTTTCTCTGAAAATTTCTTGTGGTTTCTAAATACTCCATCAGGCTCTGTTTACCATCTTATAGAGAGGTTTCTTGAGGTTCTTTTTTTTTTTTTGGGGGGGGGGATAACTGTAATTTGTTTGACAACCTGTGGGTCAAAGCAGAAGCTTAAAAAGCAATGTAGGAAAGTTCATCTGCCGTTTTAGGTTTGGTCTTTATTATGTACCATGAATATTTAAAAAAAATTATGGAAGTTTCCTTGGCCCTTGGGACCCTGTTGATACCATTTGTGAGGGGGTGTTTGTGGGGTTTTTTTTTTTTTTGGGGGGGGGGGAGTAGGTAGTTTTGTAGTTACAAGTTGTTAAAGAGGTAAAAGGACATTAAAAAATATACTATGTACTTTGGCTATGTACTTAGAATTTTTTTTCCCCCCTAGAAATGCTTTCTTTGCCTCTAGCCACAACTACAAAAGGAATTGGTGGTCAGATTAGTAGAGGAGGTCCAGAAGCCCTGGCTGTCTGTTTTGGGTCCAAAGCACTGGGCTGCAGCTCCCACCAGAGCCAAAAGTCTGGGTGCATGAGTGTGGCTTTTCTAAACAAGAAGGGTGTTGATGTGATTGCTGGATTATTGAATTAGGACCAGAAACTGACCTCAAATATTTTGGCAGTTTCTTCTAAAAGCAGCTAATTGCTGGAATTCTTACCAGTATAATAAGCCAAATGCTATTAAGCAAAGCATTAAGTATTAAAAAAAAAAAAAAAAAAAAAGAGAGAGAGGGCAAGGAGGAAGTGGGGGAACCCACAAATGATGTTAGTTATCATTTGTACTACTCCTGTTTATACTTGAATTTATTTTTTTTTTTTTAGTAAAACATCATCCTTAACATCTTGAAAATATATTTTTCTGAGTGAAACACTTTGCTTATGGTTTACAAAAAAAAAAAAAAAATTGAAAAAAAAACATTTCATACCTGAAGCACGACTTTTCGTAAACACCTTTCCAGCTTTCATCCAGAATGTCATCGTTTCTTGGGAAATTTAGAAGGTATGCAAGTCAGATGTGATTAAAATAGCACACTCATCATACTTCACTCTTTGGAGGAATTTAAAGTAACAGTACAGTGACATGCACCATTGCATAAGAGCCTGCGTGTTGCATTTCACTACTACTCAGTTGCTAAGCTGTCGCTGTCGGGTGCATGCATCCTCCAAAGACATGATAAAAAGG